ACGCTTGAACGTGAGAATTTTTTATATAATATGCTGTCCAAAATAAATTTCTGAATTGTTCTTTGTCTTGCCCGATTCCATAGTTTATTGAAAATTTTTTTGCTTTCCTGAACCAGTAAGCAAGAAAGCTGGCAAGTTTGGTGATGGTAGTGGCCGATTTAGACAATGTTGACGAGGGGATTGAAATTTAAACTTTTTGGTCAAATTGGTACAAATTTAATATAAATACTGCTCACAATAGCCCATTAATTTGTTTCGCATTTTATCTTTACTTCTGGACTATGCACTTACATCAATATTGTTTTAATTTATAAAATATTGTAAAATTGTATAGCATTTAATATTTCAAATGAAAATTTTTTAATATTTATTTTTAAAAGAAGTGATTGAGTTACGATTGCAACAATGATATTTTGGAAAACTATTTTAAAGTCAGCACTTTTACTGAAAATTTTTAGCATGCAATTGAAATTTTTATTGATTTTTCGTCAATTTATTTATTTTATAAACGCATTGTTCAACCGAATAATGTTAGCAATTTGGTTTAACAGCAATTTTTCAAAATTTTGTTTTTTGAAACCATTCTAGAATATAAAAAATCAATAAATTAATTTATGCAGTCAGTAGGAAACATATTGTGAGTTAGATGTTACATTGTTTTTGACATTTTTATTGGCATGCTTTGTTAAGATGAAGCCAATGACGCATTTAATGATACAAGGATGTTAGTTGAAACATACATTGAAACGTATTTGTTTGATATTACATAAAATGATACAAAAAAGCTTAATGATAAAGTTATTGAGACATGGATTTCAGATGATACATGAAATAATACATAGATGTTTGATGATACATTCAATTACACATTAGTTTTTGCATAAATTTTTTTTTTACAAATTTATTCATTGATTATTAAGTCCCATAGTATAATGATTTGAACCGCATTACATAATTTAATATCCTATCAATCACATCAATATACTGTTCCAAAACTTATGAATCTTATTATCATTTGTGTATCAGCCATTCAGTATCATCTTATTACTTAAAAAAAATGTTTAAACTTTTTCAAAACTCGTATCGATGTGATATAAAATGAGGTTTCCCAAATTGCTAACGTTTTCTTTCAATATGTTCTCGGTGGGAGGTACTGGAGCGAGGCATTTTTAGGACAGGCTCGTACAATCATCTCACTCGTTCCTTCCCCGTCTGACCATCCGGCAGGTCTCACTGAAACTTTCCTCAAATTATTTTACAACACGCGCCATTCCTCTAATTGTTTTACAACGAATTTCTGGAGATGCCATATTGAGCCGATGATTAAGAAAGTTTAACGGAAGATGTGACTCATAAATGTATTAAGCCTTTGAGTTTTAAGGTGGCTCTCGTTACTCATCATCACCTGTCACCCCAAGCAAATTGTTTTATAGCCATGTGATAATTAAATTAAATGTGATGACGTTGTAACTTTTAATGATGTCAGTATCACGTGATAAAAATGAATTCATCTCCATTTTTGTTTTTGAAAATTTCGTTTTCATAACCACATTCCAGACAAAAAATAAATTTTTTGAAAATTTTTTTAGCTACGGTTATCAAAAGAAAAATTGTTATTAAAAACATTATCACAAAATAACATCCACGCAGCCATCATCCAACAACTGGTCCTATGATCAAATCTCACAAAGTTTGACAGAGTTGACGAGTTCACCATCACAACCGACCGAAGACTTGCTGATCGATAGTCTGGAGAAAATTACGAAGGAGAAAAAGACATGAACTTTATGTTTATCAGATTGAACTGAAGTCATCTCGTCCGCAGCAGGGTGAAGGTGTTGCTATAATGAGCAACTGATCAGTTCCTCCATTATTACTTTATTAATATAACAAAGGGCTTGCACAACCAATTAACATAATCAGATCTTAACAAAGTGAACTTATGAAATGGTTTTATTCACAAATGCTTTCTATGAAACAATTATTTTATTTTTTTTTAAATAATATAAATTTGTAATTTTTATGAAAAAATGTTCAAAACAATATCCAAAAAATTAACTATTGGTTGACGTTGAGATTTAATTTAAACAAAGACCGCCCATTTATTGATCGATAACACAATGATCGCTTCTGATTGGCTGACGAGTGTTCTAACAAAAGTGGACTGTCACTTCTATTGTTTGTGGAGGTGATGATGATGATGATGATGATGATGATGATGTCATCGATAACGATGCGAAATATGGTAATTAAAGTGATCGTAAACTTGGTATATATAAACTGAGGACGTGATTTCAGAAAATAAATCTTCCGAGCATATGAAAACATAAGTCAGCAACATTGAATCAATCTTATATATAATCGTATAACTGGTTTGATAACTGGTATAAAATAATAATCTATTTGAGCTAATAAAAGTTTGTAAACTATAAATAATATATAAGGAAAAATAAATTCATAGATTGAAATCATTTACACGTTGATACTCCGGTGGTATTTATGAATTACTGTTGAGCAGTTTTGCTAATTTACCAAGCAGTATGAAGCAAGCAAATCTGGCTGATGAATCAGAGAATAAAAATAATTTTGATTTTTTACAGAAACAATATTATAGAGTTAACAACAACAGTTACAATGCCAACGAAATAAACAACAATTACAACAACTACGATAACATTAACAACAATTTTAACCATAATAGGATTAACAACAACAGAGTCAATAATACCAAGCACAACAGTATATCAAACAACAGTGAAAACTTCGATAGCAATAACTTCAAAAACAAAACCAATAATAACACAATGTTTAACAACACCTTTAACAACAACAACTATACGCGAAACAATCTTCCTCCAGTATCAATAGCAACAAAGGGAACGACATCACCTCAGACCATGTACCCATCATCATCTCCCTCTCAGATGCAAATGATGGAACCTCAACAATCCAACTCCTATGAATTTTTGGGCAACAACTACAACGCCAATCCTTACAAAGCCACACTTCGACAGACTGATCCGAATCTGCGTTACCATCCTTACAGAAAACAGAAGCAAAACGACCGCAGTCTTCAACCATTCACATGTTTTGAGCAAAAGTTCCTCAACAACAATAACAATAACAACAGCTACAACATCATGATCAACAACAATAACAACAACATGACCAACAACCTCATGATTGACAACAACAACAACCTCTCTCCAATAAGTGACACACAGCAACAACAAAATTTGTACACAACTCCGATAAGGTCGATGCAGCAGAATGGAACATTTCAACCAACTCCATTGCAATACGACAACGACAAAACAACAACACCACCGTTCCAACAGATGCTCCAAACACATCAACACTTATCATTACAACAACAGCAACAAAACATGAATAACATCAACAACTACCCTCCTTCACTCGACATGTACAACAACGCACACAACCCGGCAGCTAATTTTACACAAGCAACTGCAATGAACAACTTTGACTTCAACTGCTTGCACTCCACGCCAAAATATGATCAACACAAAACCGTCAACAACTACTACGCTTACAACAACTTTGTTTTTTGTCTACCGCAACAGTTCCAGCAACCGTTCACGAACAACCAGCAACAACTGCAACATCAGATGAGTTGCGATCATCTGAATGCATCCTGCAACAAACTCGCAAGCAGAGGTAGGTTCATTTTGTACAACATTTTCTATAATTCAATAATTAATATTTTATTTACCAAATTATGCTTATTACTGCAACATAATTTGAATAACAACGACATTCGCCTAGGCTGGATGTGAAATGCTGGCGAATGTTAGGGCGATATAAAAGTGACTGGCTCTCATTGGAACATTGTAAACGCATCAACATCTGTTCCTTCATTCTTTCATTTTATTCTTTTTCTTCTTTTCATTCATAAAATCTTCAGCAATTTTTTTTCTCTCGCTATCTAGTCACTGACGTTTCCAAAAATTTATATTGCAAATCGATTCATTAGGAACTTTTAACAAATTAATCTTCAAGTAACCATGAATTATTTGCGCTAAAGAACCAAAACTCACAAGAGCGCATTTTAAAGGGACTACACTGCGTAGGCCGGGTACTGCGAACGAGCAGTTTAATGTTAAATGATGTCAGAGAACTAATTTAGTCTAATTAACAGCTATCAATTGCTTCTTCCTAAGCCTAATTGATAGACTATTTCAGGCTATGTCGCACGTATAAAATTCATGTGTCTGTGTATATGTGCGTCTGGGTGTATGTGTGTCTGTGTGTTTGTCTGTTTACGTGTGTTTGTTGAACTGGGCTGAATATTCTGTACAACAAATGTTTTTTTGTGGTTTATTAAAACCGCAGAATCTAAAATCATTTAAAATATGTTGTTTAAGAAATTCGACCGGGTACCAGATTTGAAAATGATGCATATAAACGCTCGTCATGTTTGCAAATCAAGAAATTGACAACAAACTTCACACCAACACACACACACACACACACATACAGATTTATAATATATTATAATATGTACACAAATATATATATATATATGGGCGCGTTGAACATAATGTCCATTAATACTTGCTAAACTGCGACTGAAGATGACACATTTACAACATAATTGTAACTCGCCAAACTATGAGACAGCCCACAAATTGATTGCAGTAATAGTATTAGATTTTTTTTTTCATATAAATTTTATAATATTTGTTTTTTACAATGACATAATTTTTAACAATAATACTAATATGAACATTTGTGAATTTTCAGATTTGCTTGCCATCAATCAAAGTGAACTGGACAACAAATATTCATCAACCAACGGCAACTACAACTTCCACAACAACTTCAACACAGACGGCAACAACAATCAGCTTCTGGCCATTACATACAACAAAACAACAAACAACAACGCAGACAACAGCAACACAAACAGCAGCCATAAAACGAGTCCTGTCAAAAGTACATCCACCCTCCCCAACAATGTCTCTGAACTCATCTACCCAGAACTCGAAGATTTTGCTCGTCACTTCAAACAAAGTCGCATTCGTTTGGGCTACACGCAAGCAGACGTCGGTCAGACGCTTGGCGATCTCTACGGCAGCCTCTTCTCCCAGACAACCATCTGCCGGTTCGAAGCCTTGCAACTGAGCGTTAGAAACATGACCAAGTTAAAACCTCTCATGGAAAAGTGGCTCGAAGATGTAGACAAAAATAATTTGGACGCCAAATCACCGAGTAGTGGCAGCAGCAGCAACAACAACAACATGCCACCTTTCGACATGTATCCCGGATGCAGCAACAACAACAACAGCAGTGTTAGCCACGGTTATAACAGCGGAGGTAGCAGCCTTCTGAACAATTCACTGGAAAGTAACAATTTCAGCAACGGAAGCAACTTAATGGCTTCTTCGTCCTTCTTGCAAAGTTCATCGGCATCGCATCAAGAGTCATCTTCAACAAACGACAACAGTGGCAACAACAGCAGCGGCTTGGTGTCGTCGCCGCCAAATGAACTGTCGTCGTCAGCGTCAGCTTTCCAGTTTTGTACGAAACAAAGAAAAAAACGGACGAGCATTGACAGCTTGACGCGAAAGATTCTCGAGAACGAGTTTCGGATGAAAAACAAACCGACAGCCCGTGAAATCGCAAAAATAGCAAACAACCTGCAAAAAGAACGTGAAACCATTCGAATTTGGTTCTGCAACAGACGACAGAAAGAAAAACGAATTGTACTCGGTCTCCCGGAAACTACGTCACAAAACACAGTGGCCTACGTCATCCAAAAGAACAACGCCTTGCAAAACGCCACGCTGAAAGAGACGAACGATTATAACTGGCAACAAATCGTTAACATCTGAAACTCGAGAACTTATATTTTCTGTCCTATCTTTGATTGAAGTTTTCTTTATTCCTATAAAATTTTGTTCATAATTATTCAAAATACTTTTACATACAAATTGTTGAAAATTACTTTGTTGGTAACAATTTCAGTTGAATTTAATATTTGTAATTATGATATAGAAAACATGAACTGGGTGTCAAATCAAATTTGTTAAGGATTTTTTATTAAAAATTAATTTTCTTTGTTTACAATCCGTATCTTTCAAAACTAATTTGATCGAATATTAGAAATTTTGTATCATAATCAGTTTTATTTTTTTCATAACTTTCTTTTGTTTTTTGAGATGAATCAAGAATTTTTTAATGTTTCTCATTATTCAACTATGGACAAAAATATCATTGTTCAGTTGGAAAAGAGTTCATCGTAAGTGCAGACTTATGTAAAATATGCTGTGCCTTTTATTAAAAAATAAAATATTGTTACTGCGGAGAATAAAATAAATATTATATTATATTTTGGATGCATTCAGTTTTGTTTCACTGCTCATCCTCCTGAAGAAATTAAATTCTTTTGAAAAATACGCTGGCATGTTCCGTTTTTATAATAATTTCATTAAAATTTGTTAAAATAAATGTTCAAATAGATTATATTTTAGAATGAACAAAATTTTGAAAATAAAACACCTTCAAAAAATAAAAACACTTGAAATCAAAAAAAGGAAAACCATGTAAACGCATTAAAGGCATGTTGCTTTTTATTTTCCCAGCAGATGCAACCCATCATCTGTTTATGTTTTCCTAGCATCTAAAAAAAAGCTTGCGCAAATCTATTCAGCAGTCAAAAAACCATCTCGAAAGAAAAAAAATACTTGAGTACTTCAATCAACCAATAAAACAATAAACACAAATTTTTTTATTGCATGATAAAAGATTTTCATTTTTTTTTTTTGCGAAAGTTAGAAAAAAATCCTGGATGTATCAATCGATCTGGAAAGATGTTCGTATTATTGCTGAATGTACCAGGCTCTTCTCCCTGGTATGGTTGATTATATTAGTCAACATACAACCGGTTAGCAAGGCATTGATTAACATGTTCTTTCTATCTATCCTTTTTTTAATAGTAAATATATAATTCAATGGATGAATGAGTGAACGTAGTATCTCACCAACATTCGCATGTAATACAAATACAAACAAACGTTCATGAAGGCGCATGCATATAAAGACACGTATCTATATAAACACACATCTACGCAAAAGTACAGACAGATCAAAATATACACACACAAACATAGAGGCGATATTATATCTGGACCACAATGATCAAACATTATTCATTCATTGACCGGTATTCAATCAACTGCCCAGTTCACTTCTACATTAATATCTGCTCTCATTGTACGTTCTCATGTATGTTTGTGTGCGTTTGTATGTTAGTGTGAGTTAGTGAGGATCTGTTTGTTTGTGTATACTTAGGTGTTGGTGTGTGATTGAGCAGTGTACCGCCACCCAGATTGCAATATATATATATATATATATATATATATATATATATATTGCAATCTACTTAAACTCTTATAAATATATAAGATCCGCTTTGAACTTCGCAAGTGATGGGGAAGTAGTCAGAGAAGTAGGTAGAGAGTTCCTGAGATAAGGCCAGAAAAAGCAAATGCAGATTTAGCAAAAGAGTGTTTAACACGAGTTAAAAAGAAATGAGAACAAGAAGACGATCGTAAATCGGAACATTTATTGGAGTTGCCTGCGTTGGTTGTAAGTGAGATGCATGTGGTGATTGCAATTGGTCCAAAAGAACAACTATCAAGACGTCTCACACAACATACACAAAAGGAATCATCAAATCTCACTGTGGTGGGGCTATCGAGGCTATCTCTGGAAATTAATTTTGATATCTTGATCTTGATACTATCTGTGAGTTGAGAAGGTTTATGAAGATAATTTACCATTGAATAATATTTCATTCAAAATAAAGCGATAGAGTGACACAAAAAGATAGAGAGAGAAAGAGAGAGAGAGAGGGAGAGAAAGAGAAAAAGAGAAAGTAAATTATTTATTTTTAATCGGCGGTGACGTAAGATGAGAGGTATATAGCACTTGCTAACAAATAAATGTTTACCCCTAGGGCATAAATAACAAACCTCAGTGGGGGTGCCATGGTGGTTCGTTGCTAACAAGTCTGTGTTTGATTGTTTGCTTTTTGTTGTTCGTTGTTTGTGTTGTTGTCTTACTTTCTGTTTTATGTTTACATTGCGTGTTGTTAATGTTTTTTTAATTTCAATTTTTTAATTCTAACACGTTGCCTTTTGTCGTTGAAGAGTTCATAATAATAATAGTAATAATGCCTTTATTGAGTAATAAAAGAAAAAAGGCATATTCAATCAATCAATCGGTCGGTCGGTCGGTCGGTCAGCCAAACATTTGTGAAGCGCTATTTTCGCAATGTTCAACAGCGCTTCTCAGTGAATTTTGTAAACAAATGGATCTTGAGACTCGCTCTGAACTTCGTAAGTAATGGAAAAATAGTCAGAGAAAGGAGGTAGAAAGTTCCAGAGAAAAGGACCAGAAAAAGCAAACGCAGATTTAGCAAAAGAGTGTTTAACACAAGTTAAGAAGAAGTGGTAACAAGAAAACGATCGTAAACCGTGGCGTTCAGATTCAATAAATTTACTTGCGAAGTACTTGGGAAATAGTTTAGGATGAGACTTGTACATTAATGTGAAAATTTTAAAAATTAATTTATATTTTAAAGACAGCCAGAGAAAGAGAAGAAGATATGATATCAATGTCGGAGATACGATGTCCTATCTGAATTATTTTTATTAATCTCTTGTCTTAATTGTGCTCCATTATGCAGTGAAACAGTTATATGAAATTTTTTTAGTTGCATTACTTTTCCAGAATATTTGTGTATTAAAATTTTTTCGAGTCAATGTTAACAAAGCAATCATTGGTTGTATAAAAATCAGGCAGTGCATTATTCATCAACGCAGATATCATATCATATCAAATATCACGCTAATACAGCTATAACACATAAACATTGCACATAAACATTGCACACAAACATTACACACCAGCACAAGATACAAGCCTCAAACACAGAGTTGATACAATCTTCTTTTGTACAATTCTGCCTTTCTCGAGTCTAACTAAACGTGATTGATTGAATCATTAGCACCAATTAACCGATGCCTCCCCGGCGATCAAAGTGACAGCTTATTTGCATTTCATCGTGCGGGGTTCGCGACAGCCTTCATGCGAAATCTCGCTTAGCGTCGCGTTCAGTGGCGCATTTAAGGTGGGTGGCATGGCTCTCGTTGTGAGCAGTATTTTCATTGAAAGTCAGTAAAATTCAGTTTTTAGTAAAAAATTTACAAATTGACTTAAATCGACCGAACAGTTATCTCTATTTACTACACAATAAATTTCAATTTTTTCTTGCAGTGAATTAATCAGGCTGGTTGTTTTTTAACAGAATCATTTAATATCGTCGTTTTTGACATAAAGTGTCTTGAATCGACGGAATAGTTATCATGTATCACTGAACACGCACTATAGTTTGAGTTTTGGAATATTGTGCTGATATATTGATTTTAACTATTAGCTTTTTAATAAATTCATTCAGGGAGGCCGTTGCTTCCAGTATTTTTTATTAAAAGTTGCTAAAACTCAGTTTTTAGTCGAAAATCTACTAAAAACTGACATGGTTGGCAAAAAAAGATCAACAGCCTAATTTTAGCCATACTAATAAAATTTTGGCAAGATTCTTGCACCCCATCTATCCTATCTCACGGACAATTTTGGGCTGATTTTCGTAAATACTAATTTAGACTAGCTAGCATCCAGGAAATCAGTAGCTCAATTTACTAACATTGGAAAGGCTAATTTATGTGAAGTTTGAAAAATAGTTTTTTTTAAATCCAAAGTTAGAGTAATAGAGAAAACATTTAAAAATTGGTTAAAAAAATATCAAAATACAGTGGAAGCCGATTAAGCAGCTGGTAACCGAAGTTGACTTTTTTGGAAATAAAATGTTCTTCTAAAGTAAAAATATAATTTAATAAGGTCTTTTGCATGGTAAGTAAAGTAGCAGACAGGTAGGTCAAATATTTGTTTTGTAAAGCACCATATTAATCTATCTCAGTTATCAAAAAATGTATCTAAGTAAAAAAGTAAAATAAACCGTTGCAACGCAGCACAAACAATGCGGAATGCTCCAAAGAGCAATGAACACTTAACAAAATAAGTTTCAATCTTAATACACATCTAATAGTCATACTAAACGACTCCTGACACACGAAGCATGTGATAGGCGGGGATCTTTTTGTCGTATTCGAACCCGGTGACTGCACAAACTTCGAAATAGCGCAAAGCCACCTTAAACACTAAGTCACCACACCGCAATTTCAATAACGATGACAATTATTATTCAAATCCACAACTTGTTTCCATTCATTTAAGCTCGTCATCTCTCCGAAAATAAGTTTTAATGCCGCATCAGATTTTTTATTGCAAAATGCAGACATGCACGCACGGCATTCAATCATTGAACATTTGACGTTGCAACTTTCTCTTCTTATGACAAAGTGACCTTAGGGTCGGCTATACTTCAATTCCTGTTATAAATATACATGATTGACAAACAAAATTAAAAAATTGCTACAAAAAGCATTGTGCAAAGTTACGACAATTTAAATATTTAATTTAATGTTGTTGAAAATGTTTTTTCTTTGTATTTGTTAAAAATTTTGTAGTTCTTGGCCAGGCAGCGATAATAGCTTTCGAGGCTTTTATTTTTTGTATCGTTGATTTCTGTGCGACTTGGGTTTTTTTCGCGAAATATTTTGCAAAAGTTGTCGGTGTGGCTGTACAATATAAAGTGCGAATGTTATATTGTTGATTAATTAATGATTATATCCTTAAATGTTGTCTGGTTAATTTATTTTATTTTATAGTTCTTTGTTTTATTTTATTTAATATAAATAATTAATTTAATAATTATTGTTTTTCGTTTTTTTTTCTGTCTGTTCTGTACCTACCGGCTAGTGGGGGCTAGTCTCTACTCTGATCTATTACATTACGCATAAATCGTGAAAAAGTTGTTGTGAAGTAAAGTTAAATTAATCTTCTTAACAGTCCAATCAATTACTACATCCTATCTACCAGCATGTTTGAATAATAATGAATAAGAATTCAGTTGGTCATATGAAGTGTCAACCACCCTCAGTCACTGCTACTGCTGCTGCTGTTGAAGTTGTCCTCAATTCATCAAACACATCAGAAGAGGATGTGCAAGAGGTACCCACTCCTCTTGTTGAGGATCATTTGAAGAGGAGGGTAAACGACGCTACCGAACTCAAAAATGAAAATGCTCCTGAGAAATTAAAAGAAAAACACTTAGTGGAAGTGAGAAAAGAAAGACATTATCATGATGACGGAGAAGGAAACTTATTGTTTCAAAAAAGTTCATCTTTAAAAGTGGAAACTTCAATCTGTGTTGGCAATTACTCTCAAAATCAAAACGACTTAAAAATAATTGAGAATGATAAGAGGATACATTCTGACAGTAATTCTTTGCTTGACATTGAATTGAAAACTATAACAACTTCATCCAGTAATAAGAAAAGAAAATTGAATGAGGATAAACATAAAGTATGCCTTGTTGAAAGTTGTTCATACTTTGGTAAACCCAATCCTTTGATTAGCTTGGATAAAGTTGATTCCACAAATGACAATTCTGAGAAAGTTATTGCATCTATTGGTAAGAACATGAGATTAATAATCATTAATGATGGATGTTGGTTTGCTGATTAATGTAGTGTTAGAAGTGTAGTGGTAACAATAATTATTTTAGAATGTGATTTGTTTTATTTTTTGGTTTTTTTTACTTGCTTATAACATTTACAAAATTTTGAACCATTTTTCTAAAAAAAATAAAACTTAAAGTCACAATTCTGTTTCATAGATGATGACAATGCAGTGATGTCTCCTTTATCTTACATCGTAAGCACAGTGAGTTCAATTCAACTATATTTTTTATTTTATTATCTCAAAGACTCATTTAACTTTTATAATGAATATCTTAAATAAAAATTTTTTTAATTTATTATTTTTTTTGTTTAGAATGATAAAATAAACGATGAAATAAATGACAAAAATGGAAAAGGCAGTGGGATGGAAGAGGATGAGGATGCTTTTTCTAAACCATCTGCTTCAAAAAGAATAAAATTAGATGGAGATGATGACTTACTCTCAATACAGAGGATAAATGACTTCAATAAAATTGATGAAAAACAGGTTGATGACGTTAATATTAATAATTTAACTGTCACTGATGATAATGCAAGCAGCTCAAAGCATAATGTGAAAGGAGACATTCAGCATCCGATTCTCAACAGTGCATCTTTGTGTGAACTCATCACCGATGGTGAAGTTGGAGTGATAAGTGTCACCGGCAACAAGAAATGCAACAAAAAATATGGTGGGTTCTACTGAATTCATTTCATTCTTATACAAATAATCAATTTAAAAGAATTTGGTTTACTGTTATATTTGTGATGCATATACTTTTCTGCAGTACGTTGCTATTTAAATTAGATTCATGTCCATGGTTTAGGAACTTGAATGAATTTTTAAAGTTGAAGCATAAGTTTTTTGGGGGTAATGGTGTGTGTTGAGGCTACTAACAGAGCTTGTAGTGAAATGCTGTTATTAAGATATTAATGTATACGGCATTCAATTTTCTTTTCTTATTACCAGATGAAGTTGTTATAGTTTTCAATTCAACGTCAAGCAAAGAATTACTGTCAGAATGTATCCTCTTATCATTCTCAATGATTTTTGAGTCGTTTTGATTTTGAGAGTAATTGCCAACACAGATTGAAGTTTCCACTTTTGAAGATGAACTTTTTTGAAACAATAAGTCTCCTCCTCCGTCATCATTTTAATGTCTTTCTTTTCTCACTTCCACTAAGTGTTTTTCTTTTAATTTCTCAGGAGCATTTTCACCTTTGAGTTCGGTAGAGTCGTTTACTCGGCTGTTCCAAGATACCAAGATATTAATGTATAAATATTATTTGCTGGTAGGGGATGAACTGATTTAGCATTTCTTAAAGTTGTGTTAGTTTTTGTTAGCCAGCAGGATATATTAATTAATTAATTAAATTTTATTAATTAGTTAATTAAATTTTAATCCGTTAATTAATATTTTTTCATACTATCTATTTCACCATTACTACTGAAGACAATTGAAATAAATTATATGAATACTGTTTAAATCACTCGATAACATAGAATCCAACAGTGATATTGTTCAAATATCATCTTCCGATGATGAGGACGATGAAGAAGAAGATGATGATGAGGATGATGATGGTGAAGATGAAGAAGAAGATGATGATGATGAGGGGGATGATGATGAAGAAATAGTAGCAAATGATGAGGAAGATGTCTTATGCTCATACTCACCAGTGTGTACATTTTTTTTAATGTTTTCAGAATATTTCAATACTTGTTCAGTCAAATGATGTTATGGACTTTTTCAAGATTTTGCTATATATATTATTTAATATATTTTACGATGTATAAATGTTTTTACATCAAAACGAATAGATATATGAATTTTAGACTTTAAAGAATGAGGTTTGTTCTATGTTTAGCAAAGGCAAAGATGCAAAAGTTGTAAGAAACACCAAAAAAAATATCATTGGTCTATTCAGAAAGCCTAAAATGAATAAAATTGAATGATCTTTGTTGAATTTAATGATGTCGTTCAAAATGAGTTCTGGAGGAATATTTTGCGGTGATGTTATTTCAACAACATGATAAATGATATTAACATAAAAAAATTGAAATAAATAAACGATAATAATCAAATCAAGCATAACCTATATTGAATGCACCATAAATATTCATTGTGGGAATTCTATGTAAGAGATTATATTTTACATCGACTCTAAAGATGCACAAATATTTATGCAATTTGGCCAAGGGTTGGTATAGATATTCCATTGTTTGTCATGGTATGATTTTACATCATAGACAAAGAGAATTAGTATTTTGTAATTATCATAGTAATCCAGAATGTCCTTATTCCATGTGAATTGCCAGTGTAAGTAAATATTTGGATGTGTGTTACTCACGATTTTAATTTTTCTTTCGTCATTTGTTACAGTTATCTCAAGGTACGAGTACCACGACCACTGTCAGTGGAAACAACGCTGCCAACAAAATAGGCACTACACTATCATCAACGTCAGTATCTTCCACTACAAAGAAAACATCATTGTTACCTGCCCTTGCACTGCCCATCACATCGACAACCTCAACGTTGATGACCACAAAGCACGTGCACGTCAGTGGCTCCTGTCATGAATGCTATATGATCGAGATGAAGATCGTGGACCTGAAGATTAATGCCATCAAAACGGGCACAACGCAATGCATCTTCAGTGAAAGTTGTCTGCTCTTGAAAAACTCACTGAGAAATCTTCTTGGTGATGCAGGTTAGATTTAGTATCCATTGCATTCTAAACTACAAAACTGTTTGGCTGATATTAACAAATTTCTTCTATTAGAGCTGTGCCAATTTTTTATGAACAGATTTAACTTCCATTATAACAATTAACATTAAAAATAATTAATCTTGAGTCATCTATTTAAAATTTTTTATAATTAGTTATACATCAGCTAATATTATATAGTAATTATTTTCTGTTGTTATTATTTTATTGGAATTATTTTCTGTAGAAATATGTTTCATTGTAATTATTTTCTGTTGAAAAATATTTTGGTTTTATGCATTTTTACTTGAAAGTCATCATTTCAAAAGTTTTTGTGAAAATAGCTTGAGGTTGATTGGCGAAGTTATTCATATCCTATAGAAGCTGTTAAATTTATTGTTTATTGAGCAACCAAATAATCGCATGCAGCTCCCACAGTGACACCAATCCACGCCTCATGTTTGGAGTCGAGCAACTGGACGCCTCTGTACGGTGGCAGCCTCATTCACATGACTCTCAATTTGACTGGCTGTCATGGAAACATGGTGGAATTCTTTGGAATTTCAAGACAGCTATTTGATAGATGTATGCGTATGTTTTTTTAAATTTTTTTACCCATGCTTTCACCCTCCATTTTATTTTATTTCTTCAAGTTTTTCTGTATTTTAATATTCTTTCTCAGACTAACTTCTGGTTTGACTGCTATCAAATTTTATTTGTATATAGGTATTGTAATTTATTTAATCGTGGTTTAATCATTATCAACATGTCTTTCATCTATTTCAACAATGTTATCAACATTTGTAAGAAATCTTTACAATTTGAAATCCTTTTATCTGCAATATTTATGTTGCACATACATATTCTAATTAAAGTTCACACTTGAGAAAATATAAAAGATTTGTTTCAATTAAGTATGTTGAAAATATTCAGACATAGCTGGCAAGTTTCCCGCGACAACCCTGCAGTTGTACTTTGAGGAGCATTCCATGAGGCCAACCTTGCAACAGGATTTTGAAAAATTTTTTCGGTCCTCGTACTACGTGTACAACAACTTTGGTAACAATGCTTACGATGTGCTCTACCCTCCTGCTGAGTACAACAACATGAACAACTCTGTCAGTCATGTCAATACCATGTATCAGCAGCAACAAATGAGCCAGTATAATAGTCTTATCAACGATGCATTCGTTTCAAGGCAAGATGTCAGTCAGCAGTCAAAAGAGACATTAAAGCATGACGATCCTTATGATAAGAATGTGACTAAGCCTCAAAAAGCTCAGAGATTGAAAGCGAAATCATTGAGTTTGTTCCACTTTGAAATTCACAGATCAGACAAGACGGCTGGAAACAAGTTCACATTTTACAGACCACCCAAATGGCCATACTTGAAGAAAGTCAAAAACTTTACTCCAATCAGTTCTAGTTCTAATGACAAAGAGAAAATCAAACAAGTTTGCTGTGATGATTTGAATGCAAGAATGTCATTTAGTGAGAGACAAATTCATGACAATGGTAGTGTTAAGAATAGCAAAGAGATTTGGAACAGTCATTATCAGCATAGCCAAAACAGCAACCAAAATAGTAACAATGAAAATTCTTATTTCAGTCAGCAACAATTACAACAGTATCAGCATGATAACCACTTTTCATTGAACAACTACTCTTCAAGTTTCAACAACTACCCAACTAACCTGTTGAACCAAGCTAATTACAATTTTCAACAAATGCATCTCAACAACAGCAACAATAACAATCTCATGTACCCGCATCTAAATCTTGCAGCCCAGAACTTCTTCCAACAACAACAGCTGTTTGGTCAATGGCAAAACAATGTTGATTTCAAGTTGCAACAACAACACCATCAGCAGCAACAACAACATTTCTACCACAGCAAGTCACCGACCTATGTACAGAGTGGATTCACGGGAAATATTGTCAAGTGAGTTCTATTTCTATGCTTGAATTCTTTCAAATGCATACCCAGAAATTTGCCAACATTTCCAATGAACATCTCCAAATGCATGGCCGCATCGCAGGCTGTTCACGTACCGACCGGCCAATTCGAAAGGAGGCATCAACATAACGAACGAGGACCTGTACTGCCTCAATGATGGAGAGTACCTGAATGACGTCATCATTGATTTCTACCTCAAGTTTGTTCCAGCTCTCCTGTTCAATGACTCATTTCATTTCATAACTACTAAAATACTTTTAAAATAGTTCGTTCAATTTGCGTTAAAGAAAAATCAATTTATTGAAAAAATCACCCATTTTGCATAGAGGCATTCATATTTTCAGTTGTAAAACTTTGTAAATTTATGCTGACTGCATCTGCTTCATTCACTCTCTTAATTTCACTTATAGAATAAATAAATGAAAGTCAGCATCTACTAATAACATGAGCTGATTCATTAATCAGTTAATTAACTGTTTAATTTTTTTTTAATGATTTACTCAATAGAGTCGGCAACACAACCACGCACGTAAACAATAACAACAAATAAAACGAAGCAACAACATACATGAGACAACAACACACACGAAACAACAACACACACTAAACAACAACGCACATACAAAGCAAAAACACATATAAAACAACACATTCAGATACATAATGGAAGAGTTGTGCACAGCATCTGACAGGGATCGTACGCACATATTCAGTTCATTCTTCTATGGGCATCTTATGTCTGGAGCCAACAATGTCGAACCCAACAATAACAATCTCACGTTCGTTATTTTTTGGTTTCACATGCTGTTCGTTTCTGTTAATTTGTTCGTCTGTTCATTTGCTGTTCATTTGTTTTGTTCATTTAATTGTTTGTTACTGGTTAGGCCTAGTTTATTCCTGCTGATGTAACTGCAATCGTTGATCTGTATAACAGTTACTGGTACTATTTTTGTCACAACCTGCTTCTTACTGCTATTTATTGCTACTAGCGCGTTAGCATTACTTACATCTTTTTGATATTGTAATTTGAGAAATAGTTTATTTTTGGTGACTGCTAGGGTTACAATATTTTTTCGATCACTTTAATGAAAAAGTAAATTACAGGGTTCTCAATAAATGAAGGATTTTATTGATTTTAAGGAAGGAAGAATGACGTTTTATGACGATTAACGGTGATGATGATGATGTTTTATGATGATTGACGGTGCCGATGATGACGATATGATGATTGGTTTATTTATTTTTTACTCACTTGCAGACCCGAAGAACGCCGCCATAGCAAGGTTAAGAGGTGGACACGGAATGTGGACATCTTCTCAAAAGATTTCATCATCGTCCCAATCAACGAGAGGTAGGTGGTCATGGTCATTACCAACCACTATCATTGTCATCATCTTCATATCATTGCCATCATCACGTATCATTTATTATGATCATCGGGTATCTTTATCGTCGTTAGCGTGTATCATCGTCGTACCATTTTATCATCATGATGTATCATATCATATCATCATCTTCCCCATTATCAGCATTCTGCAGTTTTATCCATTCAACAAGTTGCCTCTTGTGCTATCAGTAATTTAATTTAAATAATAGATTAGATTATTTTATTTAATCAAAAAAATTTTCACAAAAATTATTAGTTACACAAAATTTTTACGATGATATAGAATTTGCAGGTTGTAATATTTGTTATTTAATGTTACGTTTTTTGGTGAAGTTATCATTGGTTCCTGGCGATCATATGTTTTCCAAACGTCGATGGGATAACAAAATGTAAATCCTCCGTGGATCCGGCACATCCATCATCATCTTTACACTCATCATCGACTCTTCATCCCACCTCCCAGAAATCTCACCAGCCTGTAACATCTCCTAATTATGACCACAAACAAGATGGACAACAACAACAGCCATCATCATCCTTATCATCATCCTCATCCCCACAACAGCAGCCGGCAGTCCATCCATCACCTCCAGCTTCCACTGATGATGGGATTCTAACTTCCCTGTTGTCGCAACCTGTCTCATCCTCTCCACCATCTCAACATATGACGTCATCTCAGCCACTGTCACAAGCACAGCCAATATCATCATCATCATCACAGCTGATATCATCATCATTACAGCTGATATCATCATCATCACAGCTGATATCATCATCATCACAGCTGATATCATCATCACTATCGCAGCCAGTATCATCATCACGACCGTTATTGTCGTCATCATTGGTATCGTTATCACAACAACCTCCCTCACCACCATCGTCATCCCTCCCGCTGTCACCCACTGCAACCAATGATAGAGAGATTGACGAAAGTTTTGAGTTGCAGATTGAAGATAATATTCCCCAGGACGACGAAGAAGACGATGATGGGGGTGATGATGACGATGATGGGGGTGATGATGATGTTGCAAATAAAGCAACAATAAAGAATGATGATGAACGTGAAAAGAGTATTAACAATGTCACAGTCGGCTGTAGTTTGGATGCAGACGAACACATCCACGCTGATGCTGCTGCTGATGATGAGAATGATGCTAATATTAATGTTAATGATGTTAACGAGGATGATGATGATAATGATGACAGCACGGATGTCAACACAACGATTGATTACATTGCTGATAACAATAATGATATGGACAGCAGCAAGGTGCAAGAAAGAGAGGTTGATGAAGTGAGTGGCAGACTCGATGGAGACTCTGTTGTTGTTGTCGGCTCCAGTGACTCTCTACTGATAGATGCATCATCGAACATTTGTGCTGAAAATATCGCCAACAAAAACAACAGTAACATCAAGACAGCAACAACATCAACAACACAACCAACGTCAGGAGCCATTACAACTGTCCATCAAAAAGTACCATTGAAGGATAATGAGCTTTCAATGGATGTTTTTGATGGTTGCAATAATGACATTAACTTCAATGACATTAAGAACATCAGTAATAACAACAAAAACATCAACAACATGGATTGTTCAACAGTTGAGAAGGATGATCAGAGCAGAGAATTGATAAACGACAACAATGGAAACACTTATTCTGATGTTGTGAGTGTTCAAGTTGTCAGAACTGCCCGGAAGAGCATGAAGGATGGCAGTGCCAACACTACCACACAACCACTTACTCCAGTTGTTGTCCCTGGTAATCATGAATCTACTGCAACATTAACATCTTCATTGATAGCGTTATCGTCATCATCAACAATGACAACAGTATTAAGACCAACATTATCAACATCGATTGCATCACCATCATCTGATTTGATAACTTCATCTGGTCTTCCTGCTCCTCCGACACACACACCACCATCGGTTGTGATTAGTACGGCAGCAGACCTGTTGCCAGCATCTGAATCACCAACACCTGTAAGCGAAGTCATCATGGATAATGGTAGTACTGTTAGTAAGGACATTGATGACCTCATCAGTACAGCTGAAAACGTTGAAGTGGAGGCTTCAAATAATTATGCAACAAACACAACTAACAGTGATGACGTCGTGTCTGCATTATTCACATCATCAGAGACACCGAGACCATCATTACCGTCATCGTCAATCACCTCAACAACACTGTTACAATTAGCGGCTCCAACTACGGCGTCATCTCCAACAACTGCACTGACTACAACAACAACAGTGTACCCATCTACTCAACCACAAACATCGGCAACGTCAACTAGTCCTTATCCACCTGAACTCATCATCAATCCTGCTACGACGACCATTGAAGCTACAGCTGCAACTACACCAACTACATCGCCAGAGACGACGAATGCAGCTGCAAGTGCTACGGCAAGCAGTTGTAATGATAACATCTACAAGAAGAACAGCAACGTTGACAACAAAACTTCTCCAGAAAACATTGCATTGTCAGATGAATGCAACCCCAGGAAGTTTGTTTTCATGTTTTTTTTTGTTCTTTTTAATTTTGACGCTCTTCACATTTTACAATCTGAATTTGATAAATTTAATATGGGTTTGAGATTTAAACATTCAAATTTGTAACTCTTTCGCAGTCCATGCATCCTGATATTTGATTCGCTGAAGGGCGACAACAGATACGACGTGGTCAACATACTCAGGCAGTTAGTTCCTTTCTTAGTTTCTATTTTTTGTTAATTTATTTTATTGATTTTTCCTCGTTGTGCTATGCAATAGATGATAGGATGGAAGTATTCATGATTTAGTGAAACATTCAAGTTTCATTGCAGCTATTTGCAAAGCATGCAGCTCATTCTTGATTTTATGGATAGGATAACCGAAACATTTAATCTATGGCTTCCAACTTTTCTGTCGTGGATCCGGCACATCCATCATCATCTTTACACTCATCATCGACTCTTCATCCCACCTCCCAGAAATCTCACCAGCCTGTAACATCTCCTAATTATGACCACAAACAAGATGGACAACAACATCAACAACAACAGCCATCATCATCCTTATCATCATCCTCATCCCCACAACAGCAGCCGGCAGTCCATCCATCACCTCCAGCTTGTTCTGATTGTTCTGATCTGCTGTTGAATAGAGCTAGCTATGTACAGTTTACAGCTCTTTTCCCATCCATTTCCTCCCGTTAATAATTAGAATCATCTTGACAAAACATTCTCACTTCACAGGTACTTGCAAGTGGAGTGGAACCTCAAAAAGAGAGATGTTGAAGGAGAGAGAGTATTTGATAGGATCTCAATGAAGGGTTTGTCAAACAGCATTTTTTTAATGTTTGTCATTTGGATATGTTTTCTAACATTTTTGGCTGTGATGTTTTTTGCTATATTTTCATTTGAAAGTTTGTTGTTGTTCATGTTGTTGTTAGTACTTGTTGTTGTTACTGCATGGTGATGTTGTCGTTGAAGTTATCATTATTGATAACGTCGTTGTTGAGGCTATAAACGAATACTGCAGGTTCCATGGTTAACTGTCCCCAGCAGCCAAACTCCTCCGATTGTGGAATTTACGTCCTTCAATATGTTGAATCATTCTTTCTGGTTAGTGGCCTTTGCTTCATTGTATTAATACTCTTAAATATCATTTATTTTTCAATATCTTAGTTCGACTTTTTTCTTTTCATTTATTCCATTGAAAATACTATTATATCAAGCTGTGCTAATGGATGATGTCCACCTGCATAGTAAGACTTTCCTCAGATCATTATTCAGCCTCGGTGTTGCACTCACACATTCTCCACATCTCTCTCAATATATATTGGCATGTTTCTTATAATGTACACTCACACATTTCACCATCTCTCCAACCCACACACAGAATCCCATATCGGACTTCACACTTCCTCTGGTTCTTCCAAACTGGTTCACCAGCAAGCAGGCCATGTCGAAGAGATTGAGTCTGAGCAAGTTGGTCATGAAGCTCCAACGAGATCTCAATCCGACACTCAAGTATAATCCTGCTATGAACGGCTGCATGAACATTAAGCCCATTCTGTCGGATGAAGACGATGACGACGATGATGAGGAAGATGATGAAGTCGTTGATGCCGTTGACGGCAGCAATGATGAAGACGATCCTGAGGTTTATGACGACGACGATGACGATGAGAACAGTGATTCTTTTGACAAAAATTCCTGCGAAATTAAAATAAATAGTAGCAGAGACGACGACGATGAGGATGATAGAAAGGAAAAAGAGAACTACGTTGTCAGCAGTCCTGAGAAACAAGATATTATCGATGATGACGCTAACGATGACGATGTTGCATCTACTGGTGCAAAAGTCATTTCCAGCATGAGTGATGTCGGCAGTGCTTGTGGTGACGAGGAAAATATGATGATGGATTGTGGCGATGATGATGATGATGATGAAGCTCCAGCGAACGATGATGATGATGACGGGGATGGCCGTCTTAGTGATGATGACTTGAAACTGGACATAACAAAATCGGATGATGTTGGTGCTGATGATGTTGAGCAAACCGATAATAAGGTACGGATTGACGGAGATGGTGAAGATGACGATGACGATGATGGTGACGATGACCATAAACGTTCAAATGTTCTTGAAAATAACGATGACGACTCAGCAAGTATGTCAAATGATGCCAACAAGGATGACGGTGGTGTTAAAGAAGATGCCGTACCTCAGATGACCGTTGTTTCAAATTCTAAGATTGTATATGATGAGGACGACGACGACGACGAAATGGATACTGGTGTTAATAATGATGAAGATGTTTTAATTCGCTAGGTGTGTGTGTGTGTGCGTGTGACGTGCTGTTATCACAAAACTGTCCTAATTAATTTTTGATTAAATTAAAATTAATTATTGACTTCTTAACTGTTTTCAAATTTTACGTCTTCTTCATCTTCTTTAGGAATAATTATGACGTCTTCGATTATTTATACCACCTCACATTTTGCATCTATCGTTTTTACATCCATTCATCTGTTTTGCATTGGTGGATTGACTGACTGATTGGTTAACTGATTGACTGATTGGTTGACTGATTGGTTTACTGATTGACTGACTGCTTCTTTTATTCATCTGTTGGTTTGTTTTCTCATAAAGGTAAGAGCGATGTTTTTATGGGATGATTTTCATGGCAGTTGCATGCTTGTTTGCTGAATTTTTTGTAGTAACCATCTGTTTATTCTTTTAAAGCTTAGAACTTCGTAATGTTAATATGAAATAATTTTGCTTGGTGTGGTTGCTAACCTGCTAATCTTGTCGATGTTAATGTACGCTGTTAGGCCTGTTAGTATTCTGGCATGCCGCAATTATATTGATTAGTAAACAAACGTAAGCCGATATGAGTTAATGATAGTAGATTAAGTAATTAATTTGCTGTTATTAGTTAGTAGTAATAATTATTAATTGGAATGATGCATAATCCTTATATTCGCATTCAACTCATCACACGTTTTGTTGGATACTCAAATAAGAAGCTATTACTTCATGTAAGGAAGGTATGATCTTTGTATCTTTACGTTTAAAATGCTTCGAAATTACAAATTCATTTCATCATTATAGTTGATTTTATTATTATTATTATTATTATTGCACTATTATTGTAAGTCAGATATTTTATTGCCATTGTATTTCGGTGAATTTAAATGTCTAAGAGTCATGTTACTGAGTTTTAATATGATAGCCATAAATTTGTTCCTGGAAGAAATGTGATGCAGACAACGGCCTCCACATATTCCAATTGGTGTGTTTTAACTTTATGCCATCTTGTGAAGATAAAAATTCATCAAACATACATCATCATCATTATTTGACGTGCTATCAACATAAACATCATGATTCTGGTTATCGTTTTTTCTATGACTTTATAGGTAGGTATATTGTGATTACATTGTTTTTTAATTTTATTTTAAGAATTGTAACTAAATTGGTTTTCCTGTAAATTAAAATATTACATAGTTTGATGATAAGGCAACGGTTTTTTTTTATTCTAAACTTCATATCTTGTATTTGAAACCGTATGTGATTAATAAACCTAAGTCACAGTCTGACTTTGAAATTTGTTTCAAATAACAGGATAATTTAACAAATGTCCTAGTGTGTAAGATTAATTTGGTGCCTTATAGTAAATATAGCACCCGAAATAAGAAATACGAAGTGGAATAAATGAGAGTTTTATGCTTACGAAACTAACTTGTTTTAAGTAATAAATCATTAGAATGAGATTTGTGTGTTCTGCATGTTCTTCCAGTTTGAGCAAAGTTTGTTACAAATGATTCTAAATGTATGCTAGTCGTTCTGGTTTAGTACACTATTTGAACCCTCATCCATTTGGAAGGGAACTGCACGTACGGATTAAAACTACGTAGAATGAAAAATTAACAGGAAGGCAAAGATCATCGAATCTTTTAAATTGTAAACTTATAAATTCAGCGCTCTTTGGTTAATGAAATCGACTTCTTGGATAAGGAAACAATTTTGTTTGTAACTAGAAGCTGCCAAATAGTTTCAGGATGTTTGAGGTGAAGCCATTATATCAAGCCCGGACACTATTCCACTAATTTTAAAAATTAAATTTCAAGATCTTAAAATTTTAATTATTTCAAAGAAAAATGTTTTTTGCCAAAATTTATGACGAAAAACAAAGTGATCAAAATGTTGAACTATGGTTATGTAATAAATTATATTATATATAAATTTAATAAATATATATAATAAATATTTAATAAACTTGACTAAAGTTCAATAATTTCCTAAATTTCACGCCGTCCTTTACAGTTTGTTCATAGCTTAGCATTATTGGGATTGTTGCTAATACTCCATTTTCGATTCCTGACGGACACAAACTCCAGCCAAGTAGCTTCAGCGACCATTCAAATCAAGTATTACTTACGGTAAATACAGAATGAGCACAGTTTTTAAAACAGAATAGGCGAATTTTTGAACTGGATTATTTATGAGGGTTAATCAATCATTAAGTCAGCCAATCAACTTATGTGAAATGTAGTAAGATTTGATTCGTATATATTTATATTATATATTTGTTAACTAATGTCATAGAAAGACCGCGAAATATCGAGAAATTTGAATGTTTTGTTTGTTGGAAGTGAAAAGTCCACTCTTCGTTGCTTCAACAACAAAATAAATGCAATATGACGGAGTTCGTTCTCAAATTAATCCAAATATATAGCTAAGAATTGTTACAGAATATATAATATTTAAAAATAGAAAATCTAGGCAAATATATTTTACTAGATCATTGTTATCCAACACGTGATATTCTCACTTAACGTTATCGCATTTCGAATTGTATCTAAATTTCTGCGAATTGCTAATATTAGAAAGATAGCAATTAAAACCAAAATTTGGTGACAGTAATGGAACAGCTTTATAAAAAAATTTCGAGTTACGGCTTGACGCGACGTTTGAATGAAATTTAACTAGCAAACTATTGAAACCCCCGCACGATGAAATGCAAATAAGCTGTCACTTTGATCGCAAGGGAGGCATCGGTTAATTGGCGCTAATGATTCAATCAATCACGTTTAGTTAGACTCGAGAAAGGCAGACTTGAACAAAAGAAGATTGTTTGTATCAACTCTGTGTTTGAGGCTTGTATCTTGTGCTGGTGTGTAATGTTTGTGTGAGATGTGAATGGCCTGGTGATGCATAGTTTTTTTCAAATGACATTTTATCATCTCATCAGTTTGCGTTTGATAAAGGTATAAACGAAATGCTGTCTATAAAACATTGAACAGACTCCAACAACCTTGAAAAGATTTCACAGATGTCGGCTTGGTGCCAATATATTTAAAAATGGTAATTTATCAGAAAAATAAAGAAACAAGTATGTGAAATTCAAATTAAGTCTATCAACTAAAAACTATTCCACCTATTTCTAAACTTGTCAAAAAAAAACCCTACTTATTTGGAAACAAAAGTTGTTGAAGTGTTTTTTTGCTAAGATGCTGTAATATTTAAAACGTTTATCAAACAAAATATGAATTGCAAATAATAACACATTTTTTGAGAAATCTTTGCCTCCAATATTTAGGAAAAACGCACAAATGATTTGACCGTGAAACTGCGGCATTTGTCTGCAGTAGAGCCAGATTTCTTTGAGGAAGGACAAGCAGATTAATATTGAAAGACTACAAATTGTTTGAAATTGACGTGGTCAAAGTTTTTTAATGAGTCAAAACTCAATATTCTAATAACATAACAGAAAAAACTTAATGAGCGCAGGTGTACAACCCACAAGCCCAAATCCCCAAAAATTAGTTAATTAAATGAAAGCATAAATTGTTCAAGTAATAATTAAAATAAATATTTACAAAATGTAAAAAATATTTTTAACTTTTTGTCTTTGATTTAATTCGCAGCTCTTGCTTACATTAAAAAAATTTTCTACTTTTTAATATACGAAAACAATTTGAAATGGACAGGCAAAAAATGGTGAATGGTCGATCATAATTTTACGCAACCACCAAACGAGATAACGCAAACAACTCTCATAGGCTATCGATGGAACGGATCATTGTGAGCTATCGATCAAATATTCTTAGGCAAAACTCTTACGCAACGATGACTCACGCATAACTGTGGCTTCAAATTCATCGATCCGAACAAGCAAAACTTCAAATTTAAATTAAATAATTAAATTATTAATTTCAAATTATTACTATCCAATTCTTGATTCTTGATTTTTGAATTCTTGGCCTTTTCTGATTCCATTACGTCTTTTAACTCAATTTTGTTTGTAATTTACGTAGAATGAAAACCCGTACATTTCTACTGTTTTTTTTCTGGCTAATAAGTTTTATCTAAATATCTAACCATCTGTCCTCTCCATTTTTCACTTGCCCTTGTATATAAAAATTAATGTTTTCAATTTAATTCTCTTGGTCAGAAACAGGCAACATTACTAACACAATTAAAAAGTAAGCAAC